AGTGTGAAAAGAAGGAAAACATTAAGTGAATCCTGATGCATGTGCTTAATGATAACACATGCAGTCTCTGTTTTAATTCACTCAGAACCCAAACTATGAAACAAAATGAGAAAACTCACTATTTTACTGTATGTATGCTGGTGTTCCCAGCCAGTTATAGCCACAGTGAAGTTATATAAAGAAGGCTCTGCGATGCCTACGCCGTCCTGTATTTGACCAGATAGTGTTTTGCTATTCCTGTTCCATCCTACATATGTACATATGTTGTCTTTAATGTAATGTATGGATTTTTCTGGCCACACATTCTGGGTTTTTTTGTCCAAGTAGTTGAGATGTCAGCCAGTAAGCTTCCTGCTGCCTGCCACTGGACCGAACACACACTCTGTTGGTCCAAATAAATCGTTCTTTCATCACTGTGTGTGTGTGCGTAGTCCAGTACTGTAGGCTCTCTGTGTTGCAGTGACAGACACAAACCAGCTGCCTGCATTCCTCTCTCTCTCTCGCCGTCTCTCTGCTGACTTCTTACGGTTGATCTCCCCTCCCCCCAGCTCGAACCAGTGTCTCACACATACTTCTGTCATGCTATATATATACCCAGCCATAACACACACACACACATGCACACAAGGAAACCAGGCAGGAGACACCTCGAGTGATAAAAGCAAAGCGACTAGAACAGAGTTTTGTCTTGCTTGTTTGTTGCCCCCTTTTTTTTCACCTCCCTTTGAAGTTTGCGTTCGGAACTCAGGCTGATCTGTTGTCAGCTTTGCCGAGTCTGAGGTAAATAGCATCCCAAATCCTCCTCAGCCAATCAGATGCCTACTTCCACCATGTTTTAGAGCGTTACCTTCACTTGTCTGGTCTATTTATGCTTTGCTTCTTTGTTGTTGCCATGACTACTCACCCTAAAGACATTAGTCTCACCTTGAAAGAGTTTTCTGCTGGGGATTGTGTACGTTTGTTTGAGGGTTAAAACTAACAGATTGATGGTTTTTTTCTTTGCCTCTTGAGTGTAACAGAAACTTCAAAATGATGTCTTATCACCTTGTAAGTTTACATGTTAACAGACAGATGCCTGTTTACGCATCCGGCCGTCACGCAGCAGCAACATCATTCATTTTGTGTTGTTTTTCCGTTCACTGGATGACTGCAAATCCACTAATTACTCTCGTTATAGCTCCATCTTTTAAAGTGTATCCTGAGGGAAGTAACTGGAGGTTTAGCTGGTCAAAGTTCCATATTGTTCACCAGCTAGGAGCAGCAAACTGGCAGCTGTGGCCACCAGTACATTGCTGTGTTTCTACACAGTTATATATTTGATTAAAGCACTCTACAGTACAACATGAGGTTTACTGTTCAATGCTGTGACTTTACTTTCCAATAATATCGTGTATTTATACGGTGCTGTCACTGTAATCAACATTAAACAGAAATGACAACATTCTCTTCTTTTACAGTGTCTAAACCATAAATACATAAACACCAGAGTGTCTTGAATCATTATCATTTAACAAACAGTGTTTCCCATTTCAAATGCCTACAGCACTATAACGTAGAAAACAATAGCGGATAAAAGATTAATCATTTTTATGGATCAGCAGCATTTGTTTAAAAGCGTTTAAATTAAGTATATTTTAAAGCTAAGTGAACGTAATTGTAAAAATGTTCTATCTCAGGGCATCAGTGTGAAGTTAGCAATAGCATTCTTAGCTGCCTAAATAAACTAGAGTGCAAAAAAAAAGCTTCACGCTGTCAGTTTGTAGAGGAGCCTCCTGTTAAAGCGTATTCTCGTTTTTGGCTCCAAAAAAGCATCAGATGTGACCTTTTTAATCATACTTTGGAAAAACAGCATTATAGTAAGAATTTGGCTTTATTTTGAGGGTAATTTGCTTCAGTGTCCGACGTGTTTATCTCTGAGCTTTTTCACTGGAAACAGCTGCTGCAACTGGGAACGGCACCGTAAGAAGGAATCAAGATGTCCAAGTTGCGAAATGAAAACAAGGAGTTTGAGGTCACTGCGGAGCGAGGCTGAACGCTCAGATTTGTTGCTCACTTTGAGTTACTCAGGTAATTAATTTATCAGGGAATCTATTGCGGGGTTTGTTCTCATGAGAATCACAAATGAACCAACCATGAACGGCTTTGGACTGTGAGAGGAAGCACCCGTATAGAAAACTCATAGAAGACCAGGGAGAACATACAAACTCCACACACACGGGCCTTCACCAGCCGAATCCAGAACCTACAGAGAATAAGGAGATAATGCAAACCACCGTGTCGTTCTAAATGTTCACAGTCACAGCCTTACATATGGTAGGACAGTATGCAGCAGACAATTCTAAAAGTTAAAGAATAATAAAGTCTCAGAAGTTTTATGGTGACATAGAGGTAACCCAACACACTGACTTCAGTGTCTGCACCGTGTTCATCGACTTCTCGTATGAATCTTCACTTGTTTCTACAGGATCACAGCTTTACTTTGCTTTAAACCAGACATGATGTTTGTTCTGATAAATGCTTTGATGAAACTTGTGACCACATGACATCCACTCAACAACTGATTTTTAGCAACTACAAACTCAGAAAAAAGAATATAAATGACAACAAATCGTGTCTAAAAGAGAGTCTCTACATTTTCAAATGCAACTGCAAAATAAAAAAAAATACAAACTTGACCAATTGTGTGATTATTCTCCAATGATTAATCCCGTTTAGATATCACACACGTGTATGGATTGATATATGGCTTCCTTAGAAACACTTACACGCTGGTTAGACCAACTTGGTCAACCAACATGTCCTTTAAGCTGTCCTCAAATTTGAAAACCTCCTCAAACCAAACTAAGCGGTGTTCTTCCACCTCAGCTGAACATCTAAATAGTTGTTCAGTGTTGGGTTTCGCGTGGTAGCTCAAATACTTTGCATGGTGGTCACACTTGAACTGAGCAAGCACAGTCCAAAGCCACAAAACCGTTTTTGTAGTGTACATCTCACCTTACTCTACTGTAGATTTAGTTGTTGTTTGTCTAACCCTTTTCTACTCTCCAGCAAATTTCCAGCTGCGGCAGACTGCAGCCCAAACAGTGACTGACTGTCTGGAAACCTGCTGGACTGCCCACATCTGCTTGACCACTGCAGACACCATCCACAAACATACGCACACACACAAACAAACAGCTACAGTTGGACATGATGAACTGTGTCCCATTTGACCTGATGTGGCTACTAACTGCTGTGTGTTACACCACAGACTGTGCAAGAGAGGCAGGGAGACAGTCCATTTAAAACACTGTAATCTGGTTACAACTACTTGCAAATTTGTACGTAGCCTGTGTTTTGCATGTTTATGCCTGTGGACAGCATTCACAGCAAGAGATGCTTTAGTCAGTCTGGTTTAAGACATTCCACAATCAAACTTCAACACATTATCTGCACGTCAGACCCAAACTGTCATCAGCTATCTTTCAAGCCAGTGGTCACCGCTAAGCAGCATGTCATTATTATCACTGGGTGTCTGTGTGAAATGAGGTTTTCTGCAGCTAAGGGGTTTTCTCTCAAAAACAGTGAAACAAATCACAAGTTTGCATCAGATTTATTATGCACAAGTGATCCAGTCAGAACTTGCTGACCTTGTGTGGTTGTATATATTTACCTGATTTATCATGGCTGTACACACAAGTGCACTTATTGAAGACATGCCCATATGGTGCTTTTGTTTCTTTGTTTTTTTAATTCTGGAAAATATACGTGAACCGGTGACCTTCTAGCTACGAGGCAACAGTGCTAACCACTGCTCCACCTTGCAGCCCAGTTCAAACATGTGTGCCCGAATTAATACAAGTTGCCTTTGGGTAGTGCTCGAGCTGCAGCGAGCCACGGGGAGGCTAGAAAAGACTTCGTAGATCAGCACATTCTAAAGAAAAGATGGATGCAGTTAAATCTAAGCCATTCAAGCCAAGTCAAGATGGGATTACTTTCATTATAAAAACATCTAAGTATACAACTTTGATACCAACAGATGAGTTTCAAGACGTTCGTTTGGTCTCTATCTGCACCACAAAGTAGCTTTTCATTTAGAACATGTTCAAGGTTATTAAGGACACCAAGTTGATCATTTTCGGACTGCTGACTGTTTCCCCGTGCACCACATCCATTAGAATCCTATGACCTCCGCTGCACCAAAACAATCTGCTCATCTGTTACCCCACGCTTCAACGCATCCATTCATTCTTAGTGGCATCGCAGCATCTGAGCATGAACTTCCAAGACCCCCTCCTGTGAAAATCAAGTTTTTTTTTTTCTTTTTTTGGCTTTTCGGGTTGTTTTTTTTTTTCCTTGGAGGCCCCTTGTTGGGCGGCTTAGGCATTCACCCTTGCTTGGTTTTATTTTCCGGGGTTGGGTTTTTTAGGAGTAAATCAATGACCGAAGCGAGACTTTAAGACTGATCAGACAGTGTTTGACAGATACTCTCCAGAGAAATCATGGTGTACTAGCAGCACTCCCAATCAATAGCTTTAATAGCGCTGGTCTTTAATTATTACGCAGCTGCCCTTCAGCTCTCTATTCTGAGGCTCCACCCAACCAGTGAAACTAATCTTCTAAAAAAGTGTCTGGAATTCCCAACAATAGCCTTCATGTTTACGTCTTTCACCTCACATTTTTATCTAACAGTTATACCTTTTATATATGTTGTTAACACTCGTTGACCCTCACAGCGGCGACGTCTAAACACCACGATGAGGTCTGGGTGTTTAATATCCTTGTAAAGTTTACAGTTCCCATTGAACATGGTGAACCTCCTCCTCTGTCACTCATCAATACAATCTGCTTTTTGGGCAATCAAGGTATTGCTGGGTTTAATGGCAGTGGGGCTGGTGGGTATTGATCATAGCAGACACACAGGTTGTCCACAGCACATTGCCGTGAAGGTTTTTCATTCACAAAACTACAAAAAAAGACTTGATTCAAAACTTTCACAACTGTCTGCATTTGTAAACTGATCACAAAAAGTTATGTTGAGTTTGATTGAATCCAATTCCAGGTAACATCAAATTTTGCTTTTCACTTATATTATGAATATGAATAGTTTCAGCATTGGTTTATTTTTTCATTTAATTATACAAAAGACTGAAAACATAAGATGTGCAGTATACGCCCCCGGTACCAGATTCACACTGAGGACAGACAGTGACATGTAAATAAAACATGCAGCCACTTAAAACTCTCCTCTTATGAGCAATTATCAATCTAGCCAAGTATGTTCTGTGTCGTGCTGTTGAAGACGTTGGATCCAGTCCCAGAGAGGTGGGCTACACCCTGATCACAAGGCTGACATCTTTTATGCCGACTGGCAACCATTCACACATACACAAAATAAACCTGCCTTGGCATGTCGGCTGGCAGTTTTAGCTGTGATTGTAAAACACAAAGTGACAAAGAGCACATTTTCACATACAAAAGTCTATTGAAAGGGCTAGACATAATACCTTCAAAAATTTAATGCAGAGCCAGTAAGAAACTGAGCTTTTGGGAAATTACATGTCATTTTGATTTGCCATGTTGCTCAATGAGACAAAGTGGTCTCTGTCTTGGAGGACTATGGCAGACAATCCAACCCACTTTCTGTGTCTTTTTAGCAGTGGTGTGGTCAGCTGTGTCAGAAGCAGCACAAAGGCCTTTAAGAACTAGGTGTGACGTTTTAATGCCAGTTTCTAGAAAGATAACTTTGTGTGGTTGGTCAGACACACTTATGAGGTTTTATACTTGTTTTCTACAGGCCAGATTGCAGCAGAGAGCTCGACAGACTTTTCCTTTTGGTTCAACTTCTGTTCCTGCTCTGTCTCCTTTTCCTTCTTCTCCCCCCCTGCCCTCTTCGACCTTCTCTCTTCTTCCTGTCCCTTCCCCCACTGCAGCCTACCCCCACCCTCTTTTATCCCACTCGGGGTAGAAACACACCAAATGCAGCAGGGCCACCAGGAACCGCCTACACCTCCCACATTCGGCCGCCTTTTAGCAGATCGATCACGCTGCCAATCCAAATTACTGCCGCTTTAGCTGCTGTTTGCTCTTCATTTTCCCACAGTGACGAATCTGAGCGCTGGAGCCGCGTCTGATTGTTTACAATGAAACACTTAAACAGTAAACAGCAACAGGTACTTTCTGTGGTCGAGTGGTTAAGACGCTGGAATCCATTGGGGTGTTTTTTTTTCATGGTTTACTCACTGTGCTGCAGTGAGTGTTTACATGTCCTGCACACAGTGAGTGGCTGTGTGTGAAGACTGTGTGAGGAGATGCAGGGAGCTCAGCTTCACAGCTGCACGCTCAGACAGTGTAGACACAACTTTCTGTCATGAATAGAGAAAACTGCACTCAGGGTGTGACTGTTTATCTAGAAGATGAAGCATGATAAGATAGGGAGTAGGAATCAGGTTTCATCCTGCAGCTCTATTACAAGATTTTGTGCAGCCATGTAGAGAACATTTTGATTTTACTCTGCATTTCCACTTTTTTAATGATTTAACACAAACTATCCAGTAGCAAAAATAGTTATTTATTTTCATTAAATGCATGAACCAGTTAGTTAAATAAGGTAGAGAAAAAGAGTATAAATGTGTTCAGGTGATGTTCTTGTTAGGATTCAGCCACATGCTTCAGTGTGTGGATTCTCAGTCATTCAGGTCATGGAGAGCCAACTGCTTCAGCAAAAGCTTCCTCACTTCACCTCATGGATGAGACGTGAAATGTCCTCCAGAACCAAAAAAGAAAGAAAAAAAAAGTCCAGTTGCCTTCTACTGAAGCACTTAGGATTAGCTCCATGCTTATTTTCCTTTCCAGAAATGCACGTCAAGTGGGCTAATGCATAAGAAATACATAAGAAATAAACATTAAAGTGCTCGACTATATGAAAAATGTTTTGAAAACCCGACCAGAAAAATGATTATTTTGGTAAAATCTCTGGTGTAATGTAATTACTGTAACATATTTTCCGGCGGTGGGGGAGTACAGGCCAATCAAGAGCGGGTCCTGTAGGAAAACAAACGCCGTGATTGGCTGAGACGCAGCAGCGGTTTCCAGGCGCCCCCGCGCTCCGCCGGGGAGGAGGGGGGGGGTCTCTGAATGGAGGGGCGCCTGGAAACCGGTGGAATCTGCGCGGAGTGAGGAGAGCGAGCCTCCCGACTCCAGCCGCCCAGCATGTGAACCGACGCTCTGCGTGAAGCGAAGTCGAAAACCGTGGAAATACAAACCTTTCGACTTTCCAGCGCTCCTCGTTTTGTGCCAAAGTCGCGCCGCTCAAGTGTTAAAGACGCTGGAAGAATTTGGGGCTGCGTTTCCCCCCCAGAAAACGGGACTTTTAAGTGTTTTTTTCTCCAGCGGCTCGGGAGTGAGAGTGGACTGCTTGGAGTCACTTACAAAGACCATTAAGAAGTCATGACACGACGAACGTTTCACTTGGATTTATCTTCGTGAAAGACGAGAGAAAAGTCGACCACAGCCATTTTAACTCCAATTACTCGGACTGTGAGCTAAGTATTGGGACAATTGCTGCACATTTTCTCGCGTTTTCGCTCGTTTTTAAGTTGCCCTACTTGGATCAAAGTTTTTCCTTCCCTCCCCCCTCCTCCTCAACTATGGCGGCGGCCAGGTTCACCACTGGCTCCGTGTTGCTGCGGATCATGTGGCTGCTGTGCGGGCTCTCTTTCTCACCCGCTTCTGCTCAGCACTACAACAGCGAGAGCGGAATATCCGTCCCGGAACACGGCTTCTGCCAGCCCATCTCCATCCCGCTCTGCACCGACATCGCCTACAACCAGACCATCATGCCGAACCTCCTGGGCCACACGAACCAGGAGGACGCCGGGCTGGAGGTGCACCAGTTCTACCCGCTGGTGAAGGTCCAGTGCTCTGCGGATCTCAAGTTCTTCCTGTGCTCCATGTACGCGCCGGTGTGCACCGTGCTGGAGCAGGCCATCCCCCCGTGTCGGTCCCTGTGCGAGCGGGCACGCCAGGGATGCGAAGCCCTGATGAACAAATTCGGCTTCCAGTGGCCGGAGCGGCTCCGCTGCGAGGCGTTCCCCGTCCACGGAGCCGGAGAGATCTGCGTGGGCCAGAACACATCCGAACCGGGCAGCCCGGCCTCCTCGTCGTCTCCCTACGCGCCCGACCCTGTGACCCTTCCCCCCAGCATGGGCAGGCCGAACCAGCGCCCGCCCCAACACAACCAGTACCACCAGTTCTCATGCCCGCTGCAGCTGGAGGTGCCCACCTATCTGGGCTACAGATTCATGGGGGTCAAAGACTGCGGGGCCCCCTGTGAGCCCACAAAGCCGACCGGGATCATGTACTTCAGGGAGGATGAGGTGAAGTTCGGCCGCCTGTGGGTCGGCATCTGGTCCATCCTGTGCTGTGTGAGCACATTGTTCACTGTGCTCACCTACCTGGTGGACATGCGGCGGTTCCGATACCCGGAGCGGCCCATCATCTTCCTGTCGGGCTGCTACTTCATGGTGGCCGTGGCCTACGCTGCGGGGTTCTTCCTGGAGGACAAAGTGGTTTGCGTGGATAAATTCAAGGTGGACGGCTACAGGACTGTAGCTCAGGGCACCAAGAAGGAGGGCTGCACCATCCTCTTCATGGTGCTCTACTTCTTTGGCATGGCCAGCTCCATCTGGTGGGTGATTCTGTCCCTGACGTGGTTCCTCTCCGCCGGGATGAAATGGGGTCATGAGGCGATCGAAGCCAACTCGCAGTACTTCCACCTGGCTGCCTGGGCGGTCCCGGCCATCAAAACCATCACCATCCTCGCCATGGGCCAGGTGGACGGAGACGTCCTGACCGGGGTGTGCTTCGTGGGGATCTTCAACGTGGACGCGCTGCGCGGCTTCGTGCTGGCCCCGCTGTTCGTCTACCTGTTCATCGGCACGTCCTTCCTCCTGGCCGGCTTCGTGTCCCTGTTCCGGATCCGCACCATCATGAAGCACGACGGCACCAAGACGGAGAAGCTGGAGAAGCTGATGGTGCGGATCGGCGTGTTCAGCGTGCTCTACACGGTACCGGCCACCATCGTGATCGCCTGCTACTTCTACGAGCAGGCCTTCAGGGAGCACTGGGAGCGGACCTGGCACATGCAGACCTGCAAGCGCTTCGCCGTCCCCTGCCCGGTCCACAACTTCGCCCCCATGACGCCGGACTTCACCGTGTTCATGATCAAATACCTGATGACCATGATCGTGGGGATCACCTCCGGGTTCTGGGTCTGGTCCGGGAAGACTCTCCAATCATGGCGGAGGTTCTACAAGCGCCTTAGCAACGGTAACCATGGAGAGACAACGGTGTGAGGTTCGGAGGATTAAAAGGCACAGCGAGTTCTGGATACAGCAGCCTGAAAAGGAGGTCAAATAGCTTTCATTTTAATACTTTTGGATGTATTTTGTGATTGGAGTTTTGTTTTTTTGTTTTGTTCCAGGTTGTGGCAGCGATTCGGGCTTTTAGACAAACTTTTATCTATATTCTATAGAATTTGGATACATTTTCTATATATTTCTTTATTTTTTTTTTGTTGTCATCAATCCTGGCTTTTGCATCTTTGGATTATGAACTGGTGTAAATGGCCATACTGGTCCGTGGACTGCGATGCCAGACTGGTGAAGTTACTTCTTCATATGAAACTCTCTGCGTATTATCGATTATATCCTTTATATTACAGTTTGAATGTACTTGCTGTCTGCTCTTCTGAGAGTTTGTCAGTTGGAAAACAGCACAGACTGATGTGTCACACAGAGTTAGTTAAAGGTTGGATCCGTGCTACAGCCTCTGACTGTGAATTCATCGATTAAGGGTACCTGGACTACATGAGTCGCTCTGCTTTTAGATGAAAGACTGAAAAGCTTTAATACACATGTTAGATTTTTGCAGAGTACAATCTTGTCTGTTTTATTCGGAGGAATGCTTCATCGACTCCGCCGTTGTCTGCCGAGTGGCTGCCCAGAAAGCAAAACCTTTTTTTTTTCTTCTCATTTTTTTTTAGTTTTTTTAAATGTCACACTGATGAATCTTTGTTCCTGTATTGAATGTTCACTCCGAAGGTGAATGAAGTTACGTACTGGTTTGCACAGTTATCCTAAGTGTTAGAAATGACTGATACACGGCAGATTGACCTGGATCTAACATTTACAGAGACCACACACACACACACACACTCACACACACAACCTCCACTCTCTGTAATTGAGACACAACAGCTCATTGTTTGTCTCCGTGTGTGGTCTCTCAACTGTTGGGTTCCTCATCAAAAAGACTTTTTAAGCCTTTAAGACACCCAAAGCACCATTTCAGTGATCCACATTTAATCCGCAGGAGTGCAAATGGTTGCTCTGGACTTTTAAAGTTATTTTATCCTGGATAAGGATGACTGTACACATCGTCGCCTATACTCTGCTCAACGTTACTCCATTTGCCTTACTCCCTATTAATTTCACTTGAAGTGTTACGTAGTTTTCACAAGCAGACTGAACATGTTAGACTGTTTTGTTTTTTTTTGTTTTAATTATTGTTTTAGTGTCCGGGCGCGAGTCTTCGAACCACGGTGAAGCTGCATGTGTGCTCTGCTTCTGGAAACAGGAGTGTTTGATTTTCTAGTTAGGGAAATGCCAGGACAGAGGTCAGAGGTCACGACCATGTGGGAATATTTTTATGTGCAGACAGACTGCGCAGTGTTCAGCAGAGGTCGAGTGTTGTATCTGGGACAGAACCACCTCAGTATAGCAGGTTAGAACAACAAAGTTCGCACAGAACACTCGCATGACCTCAGCTAGTTAACCAGGTCATTGAAGTCCATTTTAAAACAGCAAGCTGCCAAATAAATGCTCTTATAATTGAAATAATACAGTTTTAGGATTGCCGATGTTGTTCTACTCGCTGATGTGGTTTTGAAAATTTTAATTCAAGCGAGAAAACAGAAAGCTCAGACTGATAATCGTGCCCAATGCATCACTGATGACAGCAGCGTGAACAGTGAGCAGTGATTCAGTCCTTGTGCGAGGCCACCGCTGCTCGCAGCACTCTGGCTGTTTGAACTGAATTAGGAAGTCACAGTTCACGTCTCAGACTAAATAATGAAATCAGTAGCAGATCCTGTGGGGAAACAGAAAAACATGTTTTTATTTTGACTGCGTCAGCTGCGAGGCAGCACATGATCGCCAGAAGGGTTTGTTTTTTGTCATATAGCACATTTTCTCTGCATCCATCACATAGTGATCCTGAATGGGAACACTGCAGCAGTGAGGCACAGCTCGCAGCACAATGACCGTACACACTTGGCATTCTAGTTATCTTAGTTTCTGGAGCTGTGTCTCAAACCCACATAAGATTAATACTAAAACATGTACTTTATACCAATCTTCATAGTAAACTTTAAAGCAGTTTGTATATATATATTAAAAAAAAAATCAGATTTCCCATGTGAATGTACTACATACCTCAGACCCTGGTTAGAGTTTATTTGTAGGCGTGAGTTAGGAAACAGGTCAACGCTAAACACTACACTCATCCACTACAGTTCTAGCTAACAGGGCAAAGTAACTCAGTGTTACGACCTTCAGACAGCGCCGACCCGCCAGCGCCAATGGTACCAGACTGACTCGTTTATGTTGTACTGTTATCAGAAGGAATACGAGTGTTTGTGTGTTTTTATCAGAACATATGCAAACCACCAAGTAAACACAAACTCTGATTTTAAAGGCATATTTGTATTTATGGGGGATACTCATTTTTTTTTTTTGTCTTTTTTACTTGTCTTTTTATTTTTTAATGAGATAAGCCTGTTCTACGTGTACAGTTTGAATAAAAGTGTTAAAGTTTGTAATGTGTTGACCCCTGTGATTTGTCGTTAGTTTGGCAGGAAGTGTCTTGACCTTAAGACACAAAACAAACTCAATCTCAGCAGACGTGGATCTTGAGTTTAGATTATCAACAAGTGTGTGTTTATTGTTAAATAAATGCCAGCAGAGCATGTCACACATTAGATAGAGCATTTTGTGAGCACTCAAACCAAGTTAGGCCTCTAGTGGATTCACTTACCAAACGTTAAAGCACTACTCTAATGTGTAGGTGTGACTTTATGGACATACAGGCGATACTTATGTCAGTGAGCGGGATGTTTGGGAAACAGGTGAACAGCACAGGTCGTGTACACCAGTTAGCCACAACATTAAAACCACTGATAGGTGAAGTTACAGTGCATTGTTTTGCTGGGAAACCTTTCGTCCGTTTATCCAGCACTAAATACTTTTGCAGACAAAGCGCCCTCAGAATGCACCAGAACTGCTCAGTAGGACAAACGACCCACCTCCAGAGGTTCTGGGTCCAGGGCCAGAGGTGGCCAGAGGTGTTCAGATGGAGCACGAGGAAGCTTCCTGATATTCGGTGGGTTTTAATATCGCAGCTGATCAAACCGCTTTGACAGTATTTCTTTTCGCTGCCTGCACTAGTTTTTGGTATTTTCAGTGCAACACAGTGAAAAGCTTCCAGCAAGGTATCCTGACAGTTTGTCTAACTTCCCTCACCTGCTTCGTTCATGTTGTCCACCACATTCTCATACAGAGCCACATAACTTTGTGACTCTGAAGCTGCTGTTCTCCTGCCCAACACGTGGCGTGGATCTGTGATGTCTGCATCCTCAGACAAACTCAAAAAACAAAGCTAAGATGTTGAAAATCGAACATTTTACCAAAGCGAAAAGAACACCGCTGCAAATCTCACGGACGGGGGGAGCAGCAACACCTCATGAAAAATGCATCATGGCAGACTCTCCACCCACCACACATTGTTAATGCTAATTAGCATTAATGCTAATTGAAAATGCTAATACTCTGCTCCACAGTAGGCCACATATAGACACTTTAACCTCCATTAAGGAGCCAGGCTCGTGTATTCAGAATGCCACAGCACCACCTGCTGCTGCTACTGAGTACTGCAGGGATTTACTTGAACACTGAGGATTTACCTCCTGTAGGAGCAGCTCTCCAAAAACCCAGCAGGCACATCAGTGGAGTTCCTTTTAAGGATGAACAGATTCCTGCTTAGTCGCTGTCTGGTGTGATACTGACCTCTGGTGGCCACAGCTGCTACATGCAGTCTGCATGTGAGCCGCCTGCTGGTGTATCGAGTCATATTAACCCTAATCAGTCTGTCACATTCATCTAAGGTACGTTTTCCTGCATTTTTAGGACCAAAAGGTTCAGTTTCTAGAGTATGTGACACTAAAAACCTACATTTGTGTAGCTTCTCACACAATGAAGCAGCAAACATCTTAGAACATGGTCCATGAAATCAAAAGCTCACACCTG